TGAGGTGTTAAGCATGTTAAATGTCAGAGGACTATCAGACAGACAGTCAAGTGGCAAGCTTGAAGCAGATATCAGAATTCCATAGTCATTGGAGCCTGGGGATGCAATTTTGACATATTCAGAGATAGCAAATTGAGTGCAGACTAGATATATTTAAATGTGTTATAAAAGGCAGATACTACTAAATTACATGGGAGATAAAAAGAGAAATAACAGTCTAGGGTACCTGAAACCCAAAAGACATGGCAAGTTACCTATTTTCATATTTCATTTCCTGTAGCTGTGATTTTAGACTTTTCTCTTCTCTTCCCTTCTATTTTCTCTTCTCTTCTCTTCTCTTCTCTTCTCTTCTCTTCTCTTCTCCTCTCCTCTCCTCTCCTCTTCTCTTCTCTTTTCCCTTTCCTTCTCTTCCCTTCTTCCCTTCCTTTCCCTTCCCTTCCCTTCTCTTTTCCCTTCCCTTCCCTTTCCTTCCCTTCCCTTTCCTTTCCTTCAGATATCATACACACAAACCCCAAAATTTCCAAAAGGCAATATTATGCATGAACCAACCTCTCATGGAGTGGTTGAGATCAACATTCCAGAACTTCTGTCATGTTCTTTTCTTCTTATCTTCCCTCTCACTGTTGTGTTCACCAAAGGTAACTGCATTTTTATTGCTAATTGTGCAACTTAGTTTTTACTTTCTTTTTGTTTTTGTATTTTGTGGAAGTGTAACTGTGTGTTATATATTCTTTAGAGCCTCGTCTGGCTTAACATGTTTATGTCACTAATTTTATTGTCAAGTTGCAAAGTATCCTCACTTTGATTTACATTCCATTGAGTGACTGTACCCATTTATTGGTCTCCTGCCATAGGAACTTTGGCATTTGCTTTTGTTACTATTTTGATAATGCTTTTAAAAAATTGAATTCCAAGCTTTGCTATTAAAGTTGGGAAGTCTAAGACTAGAGATATGATTCTGTGAATAAGGGCTTCCCAAGCATGAACATATAAGTTTGGGTTTCTATTCCTCACATAAAAGTTTGGGTGTAGCAGTGTGAAACTGTAATCTCAGAGTTGGAAGATGGATACAGAGAATATTGGGGGCTCATGAGAGAGCCGATCTAGCTGGACTGGCCAGCCACACATGCTATGAGAAATGTTGTCTCAAAACATAAAGTGAAAAAGACAGAGGAAGAAACCTAGTTTTAACCTGTGACCTCACATAAACTGGGAAATATATTTATAAAGTAGCAGTTTTGTAGCAGAAATTGTCTTGATGGTAACTTCTGAGAACAAAACATCCTCTTCTCTGATTTATTTGTAGTATTTTAATCTTAAGGAAAATGATTAATTTAAAATGTTGTGGATATGATTTCCTTCCACTTAGTATTACTGAGTAGTGTTAGTCTCCGTTTATTAGGTTTATTCTCAATAGGACATCAATGACTTGTTATAAGAGCACAGAAGGAACAGACTGTGCATGAATTTAAGGTAAGCCGGAGCTTTAACTGCTCATTTAATATATCTTGCAAAATTTCATTTGAATGATGATTGGAGGGTGTAAAAGGGCAATGTACTTGAAAATTTCAAAATACATTTTCTACAAATATGTAAAACCACTAATTAACTAATCCCTATTACAAAAATACCCTGTGATGAATCATATATGAAAGTAACATATACTATGATTTTTATCAAGGTGATTCCACATTCTTTAATCATGTTAGCAGTCATGCATGCCTGCATGCTAAACACTGGTTACCAGTGATTAATGTACAACATACTTGTACAATGCTCTCCACTTGAGTTAATGAAGTAAAGAGTTTATTTCATGCTCCAGTTCCATAAATAAATGGACACAATACATAATGTGATAATTACTTATTTCTTTGTAGTGCATTTTATTGTGCATAATAAGTGTAAAGAGTTGCAGACACAGTTTAATCATGCATTATTTTAATGTGATCTTACAAGTTGGATTATGAAACATTGCTAGAACTAAAATGTTTGCACTGAAAGGGATAGAGTTGCTGAAATTAAACAACAACTTAAAGGACACCATGAAGAGCTGTAAATAAAAGCTCATAATAGGCTTTCCTCTTGCTTTCACTTAATTATCCTCTTGAGTAAAACTCTAGTTGTTTTCTGTATTTATATGCTCTTACATAAATTTATTTTTCTCATTAATTATCATGGTATGCTTCTGTAGTAGCTAAATTGTGACTTAACTTTATGTATTTAGTAGCCACCTTTCACTCATGGTTTGTTTTATCTTTCATAGTGTTTTGTATAGTGCTTGTTTTGAACAAGAACACTTTGTATGGGTTAATTTTAATCTAAAGTTTCAACTTCTTCTCTTGCCTGTTGACTGGAAATTGCACAGATCCCATGATGTATGTGTTCTCTATCAGGGAATGCAGAGTCTGGTTGCTAGCCTTCACAATAGGTTTCTAGATAGCAGTCAAAACCTCAGTCTTCATAATTGAATTTCTGTACCCGTTTTTAAAGTTACCAGTTTTTCTACACACTTTATCTCCTCCATCCTTTCTTTACAAGCCCTATAGTAGCCCTGAATTTGCTTGGGCCATAGCAGAGCAGTAGTCAAGTTCTTTTCACTGACACTGTCATGTTGATCTGGACTTCCTCCTCTTCTCCCTGCTTAACAGGTACTTAGAAATAGATCTGTTTCATAGAGGTACCAGTAACATTTCAGTGATGAGCATTTTCCTGGAAGCAGCCTGTGCATCAAATTCTTAGGTAGCCATTTACTTCTTTTTCCATTTCATGTAAGCAGTCAGACTTGCAGGGATGTATTTTGTTCTGGGAAATGCTTTGTGCAGACAAAGCCTAAAACCAGAGATGACTAGGTACAATTCAGGGATTCTTGCTGTACTCAGTTACAGGCACAGTAGTCAGACGAATGACATTGTAAGCTAATCACGTAGGTCTGAGTGAATGCCAGTGACGAAGGACAGAATAAATATCCTGAAGTCCCTTGCTGAGATCTTGTCCCTTGTAAGGACATTTTGTTAATGATTCTTAAATCACTTTATGTTAATATTCTATTACATCCTAAACAAAAATAGGCCAGCCCAATGCAAATCAAACCAAAGCAACAAAACCTACAAACAACTAATGATTGCCAGCTGAAAGGAGGAAAATTAACCCCAAAGTTGTTTTCTTAGCATCCTATTATTTTTTTTCTCACAACACACACAATAAAGCATGAAGGCACTAAACACAAAAATACAAATAATATAGCTATCACAAAGGTCTCATTAAAATTGATGGAACTGTATGAAACTAGAAAGCTTCTGTAAACCAAAAGAATGAATAAAGGGATAAGGAAATACAAAGAATGAGAGGTGTTTGCCACTCATATAGTCAATGAGAGGCAAGTATCTCAAACATTTAAGGAACTCATGCAACTTATTAGCAAAATAAAAACAAAGAGTCTATTTAAAAATGAGCCAAAGTAGATTTAGAGACATAGTTTAGTGGTTAAGAATGCTTGCTCTTACTGATGATGACCTGAGTTCCTTTCCCACAAGCCATATCAGGCAGTTCCCAACCTCCTAAAACTCCAGCTCCATGGGAACAAATATCCTCTTCTGGTATTCATGGTCACATCACACACACACACACACACACACACACACACACACACACACACACACACACACGAGAGAGAGAGAGAGAGAGAGAGAGAGAGAGAGAGACAGAGAGAGAGAGAAAGAGAGAGAGAGAGGACAAATGCATGTTTAAAATAAATGGACAAAGATACAAATACACACCCAAAGGCACATACACAACAAGTATATAAAAATGATCAAAATCATTAATGATCAGGTAAATGCAAATCAGACTAAAAGAGGATATCATCACTTACCTATTATGTGACAAAAAGATTACTATATAACTTAGCAGTTCCACTTCTAGGTAATATTTAAAGAAATGAAATCAGTATCTATCAAAAGGAGATGGATTGCCCATGTACACTAGGGTATTATTTGGAATAATCAAGCTATATAAACAACCCATGCTTTTTCTTTTGTCAGATGAAACAGTGGATATGTTTAACTGTAAAAAAGAAATCCTGACATTTATGACAACATGTGTGAACCTGGAGAACATTATGTTACATGAAGCACGCATACATGGTATTGAGTTCACAGAAGCAAAGGTGAAGTGATGTTTTCCAGAGACTGAAAGTTGGTGAGAAATAAGAATATCTTAGTGAACTGTCATGTAGAAAAATCTGCCTTTGTAGATGATGTAGGAATAGCTTGTTACAATATGACACTTAGGGGCTGGGATGATATAGCCCTCTGGGTAAAGTGCTTGCTATGCTGAGCACTGGGATCTGAGCTTCATTACTCAGCTCCCATGTTTGAAACCCAAGATATGGCAATGTATACTTGTCATCCCAGGTCTGGTAAGTTAGAGACAGGAGACTGGGCTCAAGAATGGCCAGTCTACCCCAGAGGGTGACTATCATGACAGCGGGAGACTATCTCAATAAACAAGGTTAATTGTACCTGAGGGAGAAGAAAATCTGATATTGTCCTTTGACCTCCAGATACACATCCTCTGACCACATGTGTACTTTCACAAGGTACACACACACACACACACACACACACACACACACACACACACACACAAATACACACCAAAACAAGACTTAGAGAAGCTGCAGCTTCAGTTCATTCACAGGCAAAAACATGCAGACAGAAACAGCTTTAGATGTAATTCCTTTTTAAATGATGGAGAAGACACAGAGAGTAGGAGAACTGAACTGTTGAAATTTAAACTGAGTGTGCTCAAAATCATTGACTGATTTCTAGATAATCCTGTACAAATGAGACAAGAATGGAATGAGATTATTTCATAATGTATGCTGTGGAATTTTCTTCTCTTCCTGACAATTTTATATAAAATTTTGCCATCGTTGTTCACCTTCATCATTATAATTCATGGTTATTAAATTCTTTAGATATATTTTTTATTCCAGCTCCATTCATTTAGAGAATAAACTGATGTCTGTCTAAAGTGGGCATACATTAGTAAAAAAAGCAAAAGAGCAGAAGCCATTGTTTTCTGGTTTGCTTCTGAATATAATTACATATTCTTTCCTCTTCTGCATAGACAGGGCTGATGATATAGTTGGTACAATCTTTACAGCAAAGATGGTGGTTCATTTACCTGGATAAGAGAGAAGCAGATGATATGCATGGCTTTGATATTTCTGGCTTCCTTATTAATATTTTAGCCTCTTTAAACAGTTATCTTTTAGTTGTCCTAGTTTCTGGAGACAGTTTGCCACACAGTCTTGGGAAGGAAGGAATGATAGAGGATTATGAATTTGGTTTCATTGAGTTCCCCACTAGAATTTTACTCAGAATTTACAAGCAATAAGAAAGCAATTTCTAATTATAAAAAAGATTTATACTGTAGAAAAGTAACCATAAAATAATAATGAATAAGTCCTATGAACAGCCAGCCCACACAAACATATATTTTCAGATACAATTCCATTATGGAAAAACTCTGAACTTCTTACTGTCCACAGGATTGGATTGGGTCTTTAGTTTCCTGTGTTTGTACATTTACATCTCACTGACTTTGCTAGTTCATTTTCAAGAAAGGTATTCATTTATGTTGGTTACCATAGAAACTAGAAGTGCTTCATTGGCATGTAGCTATGTATATTCTCCTTCCCCCTTGCTTTTGAAGTATGATAAATTGCTATGTGCCATTTTGTGTAGAATAACCTTTCTTTAAATTAGTTTTTCATGAAATAAAGCTCCATAACCTTCAAACGTGTTGCTTTATATTAATCTGAACCCTAATTTTGATGTGATTTTTACAAAAACCCATCTGATGACATAAAACAAGTGTTTCCTAAATAACCAACAATCTTTAGAGTTGATATTGGGTAGGATAAATCAAAAACATTATTAGTTCCCTTTAGAATATAGTTATAAATATTATATTAATGAGCCAAGGAATATATTTTATTTCACATATTTAATTGGTTGTATTGGCAGATGTTTTAAGCAGTTAAATAGGATGAAGCTTTAATGTCTGTGTGCCGAACTCTGAGCTGCGTTTGAGGGAATACCAACACTGAGAAATGAACTCACACTTGTAGGGGTAAGAGAATAAGTATGAATGTAGCGGTAAGAGAAGCTGTGAGAATTCAGGAAGCTGCCATTTGATAAATATGTTCACATTTCACAACGACTAAATAGATGCAGTGCCTTGTCTCACCTATCTTTAGCTGATACTTTGCCCACTGCTTTGTACCCCCCCCATACCTGTTTTGATTTTGCGTTGTTTCTCTTTTTTGTGCAATTCTCCCAATGTTCTTTAGGAGTCACACACAGTAGAAAAAATATTGGATTCTATATTCAGTATAGGATAACAGAATCTAGTTCTTTCTCTGCTATTATCAAACTGTGAATCTGTGTTCTTGACTGGGTCGTTTTACTCCATCTAAATGTACAAATGCAGTCAACTGATAGACTGGATGAGGTCTGGCTGAGCTCTAGGAATCCAAGTCTGATTTATTATCCTAAAAAAGCTGCTATGAATTCAATTGCGACATTCAGAATTCTTAGCCTGTCTGAAACACACATTGCTATTCCCCATGAGTCACCCACGCATAGGGCAGTGGGTGGGATCTCAGCCTGAGTCACATTGTGTCTTCAGTGTGTCAATGGATGTGGAGAAGCCATGGTTGTGAGATACTTTCCAGTATGGTAGGATGTCTGTGAAGTGGTCTTGTGATTGAACCACCAAAGATCCATGCTACCTGCCGGGTAATTTGTGGCTTTAACTAGAGCACTGTTCTACTACAGGGCTTTAAAGGTGCTGCTGCTGCTGCTGCTGCTGATTGTGTGTAGTGTGTGTATGTAAGTGTGGGCGCACATGTTGCATGGCACACCTATGGAGTTCAGAGGACAGCATTCAGAAGTCAGTTTTCTCCTTCCACTATGGGTGTCTGAGACCAAACTCGGGTTGTCAGAACTGCATGACAAGCACTTTGACTCAATTAGTCATTTTATGGGCCCTAACGGTTCTTTTTAAATTTAGATAATGCATTACTTAGAATCCACTTTCAGAATTTAAATATATAATAGAAACGTGTTTCAAAAAAATCAAAAAAAACCCTCAAAAAAACCCCCGAACAACAACAACAAAAGAATTCACTTTCAGTTTCACACATATGATATGAAAACATCTCAGTGACTATCACGCTTTTAAGGTTTCATTTTATCTTTCTGTATCTATTCCCACCCCTAGCACTTGCCAAATATTTGGGCGTTAATGAACTAACTCAAGGTTTGCCCATCTCTTCACTTTTCACTGTAGATATATGCTATCCACCAGTTTCTCAGTTTTTTTTTATTCTGAGAAACAGAGGAGTAGCTGGAGAAACATTTTGTGAACTGCATGGTGCTATGGAAATACCTGTTATTGCATGTAATAACTGTTTTGGTGTTCTTACCATCAGGAGACCATTGTTGTTCTAACGTGTATTTTCCTTTTGTTAAGAGTGAAGTAGTAAGTGATAAATATCTCCTTCCCTCCTCTCTGTCCTGTCTCTAAAAATCTCCCCTAACTATTTATTATGTGGTGTCCTCGGACCTGTCCTTGTTTTTACAAAAGAATTATTTTTATTCATGTTTATGTGTGAGTGCCTGCCATGCATGAATGGGTACCTGTGGAAGCGAGGAGGAGATGTCAGTCAGATGCTCTGGAATTGGAATTACAGATGGCTGTGATCCATCAGCTACCCTAGTAGTGCTAGGCATGGAACCTGGGTCCTCTGGAAGAGCAGTGAGTGTTCTTGAGTGCTGAGCCCTCTCTCAAGCCCAGCTTTCATAGTTTCTGAATCTCCTACACTCGGAGGATTTGTTTGGGCCTGGAGAAGAGTTTCTTGTCACTATTTCAGTATCATTGTCTCTTCCTTTACATATATCTACTATTCAAGGCTTGGCATACCTTTATTATCTTAATATAAAACTCTTTAAAAATGGCATTGTGTTCTGAATTCTTTCCAGGTACCTGCTTATTTAATGCTCATAGCAATTAATGAACTTGATATTTTATGGTCATGATTGTTTTTATCAGACACCAAGAAACCAAGGTACAAGGGGCTAAGGAGCTTGCCTAAGATCATGCATGAGCTAGTAGTCACATCCAGGTAGCATGACTTTTCTGTCCCCTCTTTATTTACCCTATCTGTACTGGTTACTTTTCTGACTTCAGTGACAAGTTGCCCTGAGAAAAATGACTTACACAGGAAGTGTTTATTTCTGTTTACAGGTTTAAGGTGGAGTCTATCTTGATGGGGAAAGCTGTGACAGTAGGCAGGGAAGGGTGGGAGCAGGACATAGAGGCCAGCAGACCATGTTTTATCTGTAGTCAGTATGCAGAGTGTGGACAGGGATTGGGACCTAGCCATAAAATCTACCAAGACCCATAACCCTGCCACTTCCTCTCCAAGGTTCCATCTGTAGGGGTTCTACAACTACCCCAAACAGCACCAATATGGTAGCATGTGGGGGCACTTTCATATTCAAACCACAACACTGCCTTTGTCTATATTGCTTCTGTCTCTGTTTCTGCATGTGCCTCTATCTCAATTGATTTGTTTTCAAAGCATTCTAACACCCCAAACTAAATATGTGGATATTGTTTATCATTGTCTCACTACCAACATGCCAGCTCTGTGAAAATGGGGACTTTGCTCTTCTTTCTGTTTAGTGCTTATAAATACCTAGAATATGCGAGACATTTAAAAGAATGAGTCAACAAACGGACAAGCAAGCAAGCATGACATCATGTGCTGGTAACATAGCAGCTGCCTCTGCTGGAGGATTTAGGGCACTGGCAGATGCCTTCCTGCTGCAGGCAGGCTGGCTCCCGTCAGGGTGGGGCTAAGGAGCTCTAGAACTCTGTAAGGGAGCAGGTGTGATGAACACCTCCTTCTCTGGTGCCTGCTTTATTCAGCAGTTCCCCAGGACAGGTTTCTCACCTCAGCTAAGCTGTTTCTTCCTAGAAGTCCTTTCCTGTAGCAGTGACTGTCACCAGCTTGCTGTTCTGCTGGCAGTTGTTGAGACAGGAGCACCAAGTAGTGTCCCCCGTTCAGCACCAAGGTCTCTGGGCACTTGCGTATTCAGCTCCATGGCTCTCACCTCTAAGATTCCACAGTTTACTCATTACAGCCTTCTCTTTGTTCCTCCAACTGCTGTGAATGTTAACTGCTGCATGATTATTTCTCTGGCTTATTAATATTCACTTTTGCTTTTTCAGTTTTCTAATATATGTTTACTATTTTTTCATATTGGAATTTTTATTTCCCAACTTGACATTGTTGTTGTCACCTGAGTGTTTTTAAGATGAGAGTTTATTGATCTTTCAGAAATGAAACTTGGGGGGTTGGCCTTGTTTTGTCCTTGAGCTTGAATGCAGTGCTTAGTTCTGTGCACACGTGTGAGAGGATATCAGTAATCCATGGTATGTGGCCTTACCAAGATCAATCTAGTTTTTGTCTGCTGTTGTGGATGTGCCTAATAACAGCTGCAGCATCTGTAGCTGCTGGCCAATATGACAGTAATGAGGACCAAATGCACTCTGGCATGAGGTAGCTTCCTTCAAATGGATTGGGAGTGGTGGTGGCTAAGCACTCAAACTAGTCCTGGAGATCCCGAGAGAAGTTTAAAGGAATCTCTTATTTAATGGACTTTACTGTAAGCTAGGTACACAATTTGCTTGTTTAGATTGTAAATATCCAAGTTAAAATTTATCTGGTTTTCTTATGTGTGAAAGAATCAGAAATCCCGGAATGGGGGCATCTGAGTGGATTCATGCTTAACATGAGACATCATTCAAAGCCTATTTCCATGAAAAATAATAAAAGTCAGAAGGAAAACAAATCACACTTCAAATGATATAGAGCGTGGAGTACATTAATGTTCTCCAATAGTGGAATCTATGTCCAGGAAGTGTCAGTCCATACATTATACAGCCTCTCTTCAGCACGTCACCAGAAATAGGAATGTTTGTTTTAAGTCTATCAACACTGAAATATGGTACAGGTTGTCTTTCCTGGTAGGAACCATTACTGAGAGTCCTGTTGTCATTTACGGAGTCTGATGGGCTGCAGGAGCCAATCTGCTTGTCATCAGCAGCTGTCAGATGCTTCCCTGCTTCATTGCTCACAAGTACGTGCACAACTCTGCTGCTCTCAGTCACTGTCCCACTGTTTTGTACCACGCTCCCATGTAGTCTAAGTTCAGAGAGCCACATTCTGCACCATTGCTCCGTGCACCACGAGACCTTAGTGACAGCACTTTCTGTAAAGTCTTTTTAAATCTTATGTTTTTAACTTTAAAATTAAATGTATCTATTTTTATGCATGTGCTGTGCGTGCATCCATGCATGGTGTATGTTGTGTGTGGGTGTGCATGCTTGTGAACCCAAGTGGAAAGCAGAGCAGGGAATTGGTGCTTTTCTTCTATTGATCTCCACCTTGTCACTGAGTGGGGAACCTGGCTTTTCAGTTATGCTGACCAGTGTGCTTTCAGGATTCACCCGTCATTGTCCACACACGCTGGAATTATTGGCATGTACATCCATGCCTGCTTTTTAAAGTGGGGCTTGGGGTTAGAATTCAGGTCCTTATGCTTGGAGAATAATCATTCTTACCCATTAAACAATCCCTTGAAGCCCTAAATTAAACTTGTTTTGACAGATGCATGAAAGCATTAAAGTAATTAAGTCTTTCTTTTAACCTTAAAAAAAATAAACAGTATATCATTGTTAACTGTACTCACCCCAGTATAAAATTGAACAACAGCATTTATTTTTCTTGATTTTCTGTCTATACTTTCTTGGATTTGATGGAAACTTTTGTTAAAATAAATGCAAGGTGGAGAGTCAGAGTACTGAGTTTCTGGACACGTCAAGCCCTGTAAGAATTTCAGCACAGTATTGAGCGAATTTTGACCTACGGTAGGTCAGAGTTCTCTTACCCAGGGTCTCTATCAGTTCTTCTTTCATGTAAATAGCAGCAACAACTCATAGACTTCTGTTGGGATTACATAAAATAATGGAAGTCTAGATAGTGGTTTTGTTTATTACTGCAGTTCTACTAAGTTACCCCACAGTTGAGGTCTTAGCAAAAGTGTGCTCTCTTATAGTTCTGTAGGTCAGAAGTCTGAAGCAGGTCTCATTGGGGTAAAATCAAGTGCGAGGAAGGCTTCAAGTGTACTCCCATGCCTTTGTCAGCTTCCACTCGCTTCTCCATTCCTTGGCTCATGGCTCCTTTTCTCATTCCCCACTATACCTGTATAGCTTCTATAAATCACTTGTGCTAGTGTTTCCCACTTATAAGGTTTTAATGGTTGCATTTGGATTTCCATGATAATCCAAAATAATCCCTCATTTCAAGTTAAACTGATTAACAATGTTAATTCTATATACAACTTCTGTTCTCCCTTGCCATATAAGGAAGTTATGTACATATGTCCTGAATATTAGCATATAGTCTTCTTGGGGCAGGATATTAGTATTAATGATTCCCTTTTTAAAATAATTTTTTCTCATTTTATTTTCTATATTTTTTTCTCTTGAATTTTATTTTATTCGGGTGGGGGGAGGGTATAGGGGCACATGGTAGAAGCAAAGGGATAGGAAATGAATGGGATCAAGATACATGATGTAAAAAACACACAGAATACATTTTATTAATTAAAAAAACAAAATAAAATTGCTCCTTAACAGAAACGCAAATTGATCTGGGAATTAGTTTTGTCTGTATTTTATTGTTACACAATGGAAAGTTATAGTTGATTTAATAGTTTTATTTTGGTTTCATCTTTTTTTTCAGTTACGAGGATCAAACATGGGGCCTTGTCCATGGTAGGGATATGTTCTATCACTGAGCTATAGCCCTGGCACTAGCTTACTATGTTTTTCTTTATTGTTGTTGCATGTAAACATATAGACTGATGTGCAAGGACAACTTGCTGAGTTTATTTCATCTTCCTAGTATGTATATGATTTTAGGGCTGATTTGGGGTAAACAAGTAGGGGGCTTATCAATGGGGAAGCCTGGCTTTCCTTTCTCAGCCGTAATCAGTTGTCTGTAGCTCTTCATCTATAGGTGAGACCTTGGGGGACTTCCCTTTATTCATTTTGGCCTGTCAAACTGGGGTTCTCATCGTGCAAGTTTACAATTTTTTATGATGTGCTTAAAAGAGAAGAATAGGCATTGGTGCATTAGTGCATTTTGAGATGGTTTTCCATGATGAAATCAAACCTTGAGAATATTTTGAAACAGCTTGTTTTTACTGGCAGAGTTTTCTACCTTTCCTACTCTTATCACCTACAGTATTCTTTAAAAGGTCACCAGCATCTATTTGTTTTCACTGTCAAAGTTTGAGCTGATGAAAGGAAAAGTCACACACATTTATAAACTAACTAGAAAATTGAATCAATGCTTTTCTCCTCAGAAGGACTTTTGTTTTTAGACTGTGTGTCTTATGCATCTCATTAACAGAACTTTCAGCATTAGAATTCGGCCTTTATGTTTACAATTGCATAAATGTATGTGTAGAATGGTCACTCTACAGATCCAGATGTACTGTATGATTTGTGTAACCTGGATCCAGTTGTGATATTCAAAATTTAGAAATTCCTATTCTTGTTTGATGCAACATCAATATTCAGGTTATGTCAACTATACCCAATTTCAGTTAATGCCTTCTTGAATTCACTGCTGCAGAATGAGTCAATTTTGATTTGATCTCTGTTAATTGATTTGGCATTTACTCTGAAGGTGCCATTAGAATTGTTCTACACAGCTTTCTTATAACTGAACAGAAAATACAAGGGTGGTATACAGTGGCTTGTTTGCAAAATTGAAGAAGAAAGTCTTATACTGAGTTGAAGCGACCAGTATTTCTAAATGCATCATCAAACTTTTCTCTCAAGACCTGAGGGCTTCATGCTTAGTTAAAAGGATTTAGCCATGTGCCTAACACATACGGTGTAATGCCACGTCAAAATGTGAGAGAAAAGGGATCCCATTTCCTCGGTTTGCTTTTTATTGCTGTCAGTAGTTTCCAACCCGACTCCTGGTGCCAAGTAGTTAGGAACAATGTTATCATTGGAGTACAGTGTTTGGGTTTAGTGCTTCATAATGCTAGAGCTGACAAGTCAGACTTTTAGAGAGAATTTCCAGAGTCATGTGCCATGCTCCATTTGTGCGTGCAATTGCCTCTATTGTCTTCAGAGAGCTTTGACCTTTCAGCAAAGCTGTACACATCTAGTATAAGGACTTACTTGGTTATGCTGAGGTAGAACTTTAATCCATTAGACTTTCAATGCAGTAGACAAGAATATTTCAGTAATGGTATCCGGCTGCTAAAAGAAGCTTTTTTTTTGATGGGGGTGGAAGCTGTACTTATCTGTGGGGATAACATTAAATATTTAGAACACAGAAATTATATACATTTAATAAAATTGCAATAGCAGGATCTTCTTTAGATTCTGTTACATCACAAGCCACAGGTAGTTGTCTAGGTTTATGATATCAGGCGTGACTTCTATTTAGTGGCCCATAAATCAAATTAGACATCTGCTAGTTATCACCAAGATAAAAGTTCCACTATTTCACCCTTGTGGATATCTTTCCAGGATGGTCTGTGGTAGGAATTACCACAGGCATTACATTTTGATAGGTATTTTGTTTGCCTCCTTTGGCATTTTGAATAACACCTTCAGATATTATGAAAGCTAGTCCTTAGGTAGAAGGCTTTCTGCTTTGGTTCTAGCTTGGTTCTTCCAAGTACTGTGTCCTAAGTATTCAGCCATAGGAATTTCACTTTATGTTCTTGGAGGAAACCAAGGACAATGACAAAGCCTATTGTTTTAGGAATCTCTTGGACTCCCCTGAACAGAAATTAGAAATATACAATTGGTGAATATGCAGAGAACAACAACACAACATGGGGTGCCCGACTCCAAGTGATATATTCACAGCAAAATTTCTACACGTAAATCTTTGGGAACACTGTGGAGGAGGGCATGGAAAGATTGCAGGAGCCAGAGGACCATCACAGATGCCCTATGATAGTGTCTTCTATATACAACAGGAGGTTTTACCCATGAAATTTCAACAGTATGGTGCCTAAAAAAGACATGTTTAATGATAACATCAGAAGACAAACCAACATGGATAAAGGTCCCACCCCTAAATGAGGAACTATAAGTAATCAGTGGACTGATGACAAAGTGAGAAACAGTCTTCTTCGTCAACAAACACCCTGATAGGGTATTCAATCCCAAGTGATCAGTTCTAAACACATATGCATATAAGCATCACTAAATGGACTCATATGGTATTGTATGTGTCAGAGGTTGTGTGTGTGTGTGTGTGTGAGTGTGTGTGTAAAATACATATTTATATACATTAAGGGGGTCATGAATTTGAGAATGAGTGGAGGGTGATACAGGAGGCATTGAGAGAAGAAAAGGAGGAAATGATTAAATACAGCATTCATGTATGAAATTTCCATATAGTAAAAAGTTAACTGTCTTATTTTGGTAGAGATATATTTTTCTCAATTGTTGTAATGCTTTCTTGTTATACCCATGTGAGACTCCATGCTTTCAGAAATAGTAAATGTGGAGATTAAAAAATCATTTGGAGATTCAGAGCTGTATAAAGCAAACAAGTGCTGGGTGACAATTGGGATGTTCTGTCCCGTGAGAAAAGTAGTCAAGGTTCACTCAAGTTTTGGAGTTCCTCTGCTATGTAGATAAAATGAAACTTTAACTCAAATCTCACAATCCAGTTGCAACATTTCCCTAAAATGTGTCTATCATCAAGTGAAATGTCACAGAGGGAAGAGGTATAGAAGGGATTTTATAAGTGGATAGGACATCAGATTTTCTCTGAGTAAAAATGAAGTCTCAAGTTCTTTCTATAGAAACTTCTGGTGCTTATGTTTGTGCAAATGCTCTGCAAGTCTTCCACGATTTCAAGTCAGAGTGGATAGCAGGAATGCTCACATCCCATTAAAGTTCTTTCTCAGCAAGTTTATAATTTGTCCCTAGAGAATTATTCTAAGAATATTTTTTTCTTGGCATGTTTAAGATCTTTAGGTTTCTTTTTATAATAAAGAATTTTTAATAGCCTTTCAAATAGCTGAATTTGCATTTTCAATAGTTTCTTTTCTGTCTGAGCATTTCTGCCTATATTATAATTAGAAAAATCTCAGGAAGAGCTTAGTCATTTTCATGTTTACATGGTGCTCCATCTATATAATTTGAAATAAAAGTTTTAAAGAAAAGATTAATGAACTAAACACAAATTTAATTCAAGTTATTCATCCAAAATGTTATACATGACAAAATCAATCCTTCAAACAGGTTCACATATTAGTAGTGCAGAAAAAGGCTGAACTTAACATGAGTTGTATAAGTGACCACATCCTACAAAGTCATTAATAGGATTTAAACTCCTATATTTTCCATATTGAGAGAAGCGATGCTTTGTATTTATAAATTGTCTGGAAGGAAAATTGATTATCTTATATTACCACATAAAATATTACATGGTTATTGTAATATATAAATGCATATATATGTATATATGGTTTATAATTTAAAAATGTGATTTAAAAAAACTTTCTCCAGGATCTAACCCTGGTGCATGAGCTAGCTTGTTGTAGCCCATTCAGCCTTAATGCATGGGAGAGAGTCTTGGTCCTGCACCAACTTAATATGCCAGACTTTGTCGAGTCCCCATGAAAACCCTTACCCATGAAGAGGAGTGGATGGTGTAGGGGTGCCTGGGGGGATGACTGGGGTTGGTCAGAGCAGGCGTGGGAGAGCTGTGATTGGAATATAAAATGAAATTGAAAAAAATAAATTATATAAAAACTTCTGTTTGCAGTCAACTTCTCAAGAAAGTTTTGGGGCAAATGTTAAATCCATGTAGGGATTCTAAATCCTTGGGTGAGAAAAATATCCTTCAATGGTAAATGATTGCTCCCCAGAAAGGGTATCTCAGTTGTTTGTGTTAGAATATTTTTTGAATAAATTAAAGCATTGAGAATAGTTAATTTTGGGGTTGAGGTAAGGAAGAGACATTATTCTATAAGAAGTTGAATTCTGGTCAGAAGTGAGGCCTCCTAATTTGTGCATCTTATTTCTTCACATAGTTTTTAGTGATTACTTTGTCTTCGTTGTCACGTTACTTCCACTCTGAAGGGGATTTTCTGGATCATTGTAGAGAAACTAGGGTAACTATTCCCTAGGCACTTCTCTGACCCCTAGAAAGTTTCTTGTTTATTAAGGGCCTGGTTTAATGAAATTAATATTTAATTTCATTTCTCATGTGATTTTTTAAATTGTTATAAACTGCCCCTTTGCAGCTCCTTTATTTGTTTAGAGCAGTTTGTGAACATTCTGAATTCTAAGAAACAGTATCATTTTCTGAAGTCACTTAGAGGAAGGAGAACTTTGGTACCTGTACATTCTTACCGATTGGAAGTAATAATTAAAACTATATGTCAAATAATGACTTCAAAAGTTTTGACACAAAAAGATCATCAGATCACTAAATTTATAAAGTGTAAAAAGAAGTTTTTTCTTTGAGAGGAGCCTTCCCGCCAGCCTGGTTCTAGAGCCACATCAGTCCCAAATAAACACACAGGAGGCTATATTAATTATGAAGCTGTTGGCCTTGCTTGTTTCTTACTGGCTAGCTCTGACTTAAGTAATTACCCCATAATTGTTAATCTAAGTATGTCTCTTACCGGAGAATAGTTCCGTGCTTCCTAACCCATGGTGGTTACATCTCGACTTCTTGTGTTTCTCCTTCCCAGAGTCCTCCTGGACTCCTAGTCCCACCTATCTAGATTCCTATTGGCTCAACAGTGCTTTATTGACAAATAACAGGCAAATAACAGGACTTCCCAAACAATAAAGGATCTGACATTCAATGGTTTCATAGGGAAATGATCTGTTTGGACAATTTATTATAAATAATTGGTCACATACATATACATATATATGTATATATACATATGTATGTGTGTTTGAAATATATCTTTCCAGATTATTAGGACAGGAAATTGAAATCATTACTATCACTATTCTTGTGGAAAGCAAAAATAAAATGAAGACAAAGAAGGAAGGGGAAAGGAAGGATGAATACATGAGGGACAAATTGGGACACACATACACACACACACACACACACACACAAATTGTTTGTATAGAGGTATATGAGATCTTACAGAAGCTGTGACATTTGGCTGCGAAATTAGGCCTTCTCCAAACAACTTTTCAGTTCAGGATCCAGGTCTCCATTAGATATTTTGCCAAATGCCCTCAATTTGTTGACTATAACCAAAGCCCCCAAAAGTAAAGTAACCTATTGCTACAGTTCCCATGAGTCATACAAAGTGAAGCTACCATACCTTGTCAAAGTGTAGATACCCCTCACCTCTTCTGTGAGTTAATATTAAAAAATAATACTGATCAGCTCTATTATTTTTACAGTATATATTTTAATTGCTCCAGAAAATCGATGCATAATAACAATCCTTACCTTTTCCAATGAAAATAAAAACAGTATATACTGTGAAACATATGGAAACATAGAAAAGATAAAATAGGAAATAATTTATATATCCTTTAATATATAGCCCATAACTATATCATTTTATTTCTTTTGGTGATAACTTTCTATACAACATGTGTGTATATGTGTAATATATTTGTCTCTCAAAAATAAGTTTATTAAAATGTGTCATCCTTTTAAAATTATCATGTTTTTATTCATGGTTATTATCTGTATACTATTTTTTCAGTAGCATAATCCTTAATGGTTTTACAATATTTAAAAAAATATGCTATTTACCATTCCCTTATTATTAAAATTAGAAGTATTCAACTGTTTACTACAACTTTAAATATTTTGTTGTATCATCCTTAGCTTAAAGCTTTTTTATAGTTATCTACCTGTGAGCAGATTCCTTCTTCTAGTGAATTCCATATAGCTTTAAGTTAAACCCTTTGGTGAGAATGCCTTGGGTACACTGAGTTAACAACCACACTGACACATCAGACCCTCTCATACCATCCAACAAGAATAACTACTCTCTTGAATCAGTGTTTGTTGCAGTGTCTACAACATAACATCCCAGTTTTCTACTAATGTATATTCACCTTTAGTTATTTTTTTTGCTAGTTTCTTTTCCTATCTTACATTAAATATTCTATTGGTTAGCAGGCTCAATTGTAGATATCTTTTTGGACTTTGTTAGGCATGCATATTCAACTCACACTTGTAAATATTGTCTATGCTTCCAATGATGTTCACCAGTGTATCTCATGCCATTCCTATGACATCTGGAGTTGTTCAAGCAGTAAATCTCCTAACATACCCATTTGTCTTTCCATAAGCATCTCAAAATCAAAATGTTCAAATTTAATGCTGGACATTGTTTTCACTAGCTAATTTTTGTTTGCTACTTTCTCACCATTTCAGTAAATGGTGTTTCCATTCACACAGCTTTAGAAACCAGTATCTAGATCATCATTCTTTTTAAAATATTTTTTATTTATTGAGAATTTCATACACTTATACAATGTATTTTTATCATATCCATTCCTCTTTGTAGATGCTATCACCACATTCTCTCCCTACTTCATGTAATTTTTTCCTTCCCAATTCCCTTTATAAATCACTGAGTATAATTAGTGCTTCCCATATGCACACTGGTATGGCTATGGTTAACTGGAGCATGGGAAACCTACTAGGGGATATATACCTGAAGAAAACTGACTTTTCCTCCCCCAAAAGCTTTCATTTCCTTTCTCACTTAGTTCTAATCCAATTCTTGTTAATTACAACATGGACCGATATCAACTCTTCTCGTTTCTGTCCTCATTACTATCCATTCATTATTTACTTGTCATATTTTCCAGTCCCAATTCTACTTGGCTTTGAAATGCATGGTAGTGAGGGCTTTGTTCACAGACAAGAAAGGGTTGTTTTCCTTTTTTGTTAGTCAGCATTATACCTGATTGCTGGAATTTTATTCATACCTTCTATGACACATAAACTTCTATGGTAACCTCCAAGATCCTTGCCCTGCACCCTGCCAGTGTACAACATGTGTATATGCATGGAGTTTCTAAATAACATGGACTATTCACTTTCCTAATTAGGTTTCATTGTATGACAAAGTACAAGGTTGTCTTCAAGCACACTGAAGAGAGATTGTCCTTGCAACTTTTCATGCTGTGAAAACATCTGCAGGTTTTAAGAGATAGCATGAAATCACCAGAGAAGCTTTTCTCCTGCAGTGGACAGAAACAGATGTAGAGATTTACAGTCAGAGATAGGCCTTGGAAACACACACAGCTGCTCTAAATGGATGTCTCCATGAAATCCCTCCCTTCAGAGTTCAGGGAATCCCATAGAAGAGGAAAGAGTGTACATGACAAATGGGATAGAGGATGCCAGAACAAGGTCCCCTGAATCAACTGAACAAGGTTCATACAAACTTACAGATATTGAAGTAGCAAGCACAGAGCCTAAACCGGTCTGACCAGGTCCTCTGCATATATGTTGTAGCTTTCAGGTTAGTGTTTTCATGGGACTCCCCAGTGTATGAATGAGCCTGTTCTTGGCTCTCTTTTCTTCTATTGGTTGCTTGTCCAACCTCTATGTGATGGTTTCTGTTCACTTGTTTAGTAGCAACAAGGAATATACTGAAATTGTTTGGTCATAATTAGGTAACATAAAGTTCTTATTCACTTCTTGTATTTTTATTTTTAATTGACATAGCAATTGCACATACATATGAGTTAAGATTCAATCATACATTGACATTTTAATATATGAATTCAATGTGTAATGTGTAATAGTGTATCTATCATCACACATAGTTGTCATATTATATTACCCTATCATAAATGAATATCATATTTTTGTATTGGGAATATTCACTGATTATTTTGAAATTTAAAGTCAGTTGTTGTCAAGTATGTATTTGCAGAGTTCTGGAGAATTGGAAGTGTAAGGTAATCAATGTGCCAGTTGGCCTGTGTCTCCCTACTTTGTAGATAGTTTTATTCTAGAAGGTTCTAGAAGAACCTCTGGGTTAGGATTCAGTTAATGTGTTTGGAGTAAGATACAAAGGACTCAAATATAATACTACTGTGTGTGTCAACAACAATTGTTTATTTTGTTTTATGTTGTCAAGAAGCAATAAAGACAATTTTGAAATATTTGCAAATTAATGCTGTTATTTAGGAAGTGTTCATTATTTTGACTCCTGTGAATACATTGTAAAACATCATTCTTTTCTTTCATGCTTTTGTCAGATGAGCAGTATTCATGCATGTCTTTTCAATCTATAATTTGCAGTATTTTCATGTTATATATGAATAAAATGATATATATGTATATGTATTAAATGTGGTAAAATCCCAATTTACCACATACGATCTGCTGTGTGGGGTTTCTCTTTTCCAATTCAACATACATTTTTATCAATCAATTGTAGTATTTGACAGTATCATAAATTGTATACAATGTATTCTGAAACCCTCTCCTCTCACCCTTTCTCATTTTTCTTTTGTTCCTATCAAACCCCCTCATTGAAACCAGTCCCATTCATTACCAGATAGATGACTTTTTCCCCCTTGTAGCAGTTATTCCATTTGGTTGTTCAGCAGAAACTATAGAGAATGGTTTGAAAACATTTCTTACCAGACATATATTTAGACGCAGTAGTGTCACATCTGAAAAACTTGGATAAAACTACTTTCTAAAATAATTAGAAATGAAATTAAAAATACCTTAAGGTGTTAGAGACTGAAAACATGAATTATCTTTTGATAGTAGAAGGCTGTGGACACTGAAGGTTAAAAGCAAAGGAATAGAGCTTCTATGGATATTGACTTTCAAGTCTGAAGTCTTCCAAAAAGGAGCCGCTTCTTTTCAAGTCTCAGAAGCATTCATTTATCAGGCATTCCTACACATACAGATGTTAACTCTAGTAACTGACGACATGCTCCAGCACACTGACTTATGTATTATAATTTCTCTGGAAAAGAGCCAAATTACAAGCTCAAAAACCTCACCTTTAACAACCAGTGGTATTCTTGGAGTTAAATTTTTGTTCATGTGGGAAAAAAGTGCTTCTCTCAACCTGATGTTTTTTAAAACTAGATACCCCATTTTTAGTCGTTGCTTATGTGAAGCTAAAAACTGCTTGGAATATAACTTCCGGAACTCTGTAAGGAGAAGTGGCTGTGATGTCACAAACCCCGAGGGAAACTTCTAAAAGAGAGATTTGTCCTAACAGGGTCTAAACAAGAAAGATGATGAATGAGTAAGGTGGGATCCAACAAGACGGTAGTAAAGAATGAAATAATTTATGAATTATTTTTTTCCGAAGCTCGGTAGAAAAACTCAATGAAGGAAGGCAAAAGCTTAACCACTGGGTACATTTATGATTCTTAATGATTAATTACTTGAACACTATAAATTTGGATATCATTCGCCACAGAAATGGAAAAAAGTGATGAACCTGAACAGTCTATCTCCTTGGGGAGGCAGGAGTTTAGAAGGAGAAGACGACCCAGCCAGCCAATGGTAGACAAGTCCCAGCAAACTGATGTGACAGAAAAAAAGAAACCTGTGGCTGTAGTACAACCTCCTGCCCCCAAAGCTACCACCAGTATTGGTAATATTTCTGGAAGCAAAAGCAACTACTCTGCAAAAGAACATGAGTCTCTTGGATTGTCTTCTCAACTTCAGCAAACTTGGATAAAGAGAAAGCATGGCATGGACATGACTGATAAGTCTCTGCAGACAGACACTTCTGTGGAAAAAGTGAAAGTCATGTTGACTGATAAAACACTTACCTGTGAAGAAACCGTAGCTGGTGTTGGAGAAACAGCTCCTGCAGTGGCACAGAGTGTTCCAGAAGCAGAGATTCCAACAAACAGACCCACAACTCATTTAATAGACAGATCTCAGCAGACCAGTTGTACTGGTGACTGGAGTCTGGTAAACATTTGCCAAAGAGATACAGTGGACAAAGAACAACAGACATACTTAAGTGAGTTAGAAATTACTATCATGCCTATGCCAAGTGGTTCCCTGATTAAGTCAAAGGAGGAAACAACACCTGGTGCACAAGGTTCCTTGTCTGAAGTAAATGGTTCTCTTGAAACAGAGGTACTTTCAACTGAAAAAGTCTCTGATGCCCAGATGCCTGTCACTGAAGGGAAGTTTTCTGGTGAAACCCAGGATCAACCAGCTGACGTGCTTTCTTCTGTTAGTGGTCTGTCAGTGGCAGGGGCTCCTTCAGATGAGACTTATGATCATCAGATTCCCCAAGGAGCTGAAGAGGCTTCTAAAGAAGTACCTGTGGAAGTTCAGTCACCACTAGATAAGCAAGCAGTAGAAGAGGTCTCTAAAGAAATTGCTATGGTGCTAGATGAGGAATTTCCTGTAGAAGAGGTCTTTGAAGGAGGCCGCCCTCCATCAACTGAAGACGTCTCTGCAGATAAGGCTACTGCAGAAGTGCAGCCTCCACCAACTGAGGAGGTTCCAACAGAAGATATCCCTGCAAAAGTTCCACCTCCACCAACTGAAGACACCCTTGTAGATGACACAACTGCAGAAGTTCCCCCACAACTTGAGGAGGCCCCTGAAGAAGTTCCACCTGCACCGGCTGAGGAGACCCCTGAAGAAGTTCCACCTGCACCGGCTGAGGAGACCCCTGAAGAAATTCCACCTGCACCGGCTGAGGAGACCCCTGAAGAAGTTCCACCTGCACCGGCTGAGGAGACCCCTGAAGAAGTTCCACCTGCACCGGCTGAGGAGACCCCTGAAGAAGTTCCACCTGCACCGGCTGAGGAGACCCCTGAAGAAGTTCCACCTGCACCAACTGAGGAGACCCCTGAAGAAGTTCCACCTGCACCGGCCGAGGAGACCCCTGAAGAAGTTCCACCTGCACCGGCCGAGGAGACCCCTGAAGAAGTTCCGCCTGCACCGGCCGAGGAGACCCCTGAAGAAGTTCCGCCTGCACCGGCCGAGGAGACCCCTGAAGAAGTTCCGCCTGCACCGGCCGAGGAGACCCCTGAAGAAGTTCCGCCTGCACCGGCCGAGGAGACCCCTGAAGAAGTTCCACCTGCACCGGCCGAGGAGACCCCTGAGGAAGTTCCACCTGCACCGGCCGAGGAGACCCCTGAAGAAGTTCCACCTCCACCGGCCGAGGAGATCCCTGAAGAAGTTCCACCTCCACCGGCCGAGGAGACCCCTGAAGAAGTTCCACCTGCACCGGCTGAGGAGACCCCTGAAGAAGTTCCACCTGCACCGGCTGAGGAGACCCCTGAAGAAGTTCCACCTGCACCGGCTGAGGAGACCCCTGAAGAAGTTCCACCTGCACCAACTGAGGAGACCCCTGAAGAAGTTCCACCTGCACCAACTGAGGAGACCCCTGAAGAAGTTCCACCTTCACCAGCTGAGGAGACCCCTGAAGAAGTTCCACCTGCACTGGCTGAGGAGGCCCCTGAAGAAGTTCCACCTTCACCAGCTGAGGAGACCCCTAAAGAAGTTCCACCTTCACCAGCTGAGGAGACCCCTGAAGAAGTTCCACCTCCACCAACTGAAGAGGGCCCTGAAGAAGTTCCACCTTCACCAGCTGAGGAGACCCCTGAAGAAGTTCCGCCTGCACCGGCTGAGGAGACCCCTGAAGAAGTTCCACCTGCACCAACTCAAGAGAGCCCTGAAGAAGTTCCACCTGCACCAACTGAGGAGACCCCTGAAGAAGTTCCGCCTGCACCGGCTGAGGAAACCCCTGAAGAAGTTCCACCTGCACCAACTGAGGAGACCCCTGAAGAAGTTCCACCTGCACCGGCTGAGGAGACCCCTGAAGAAGTTCCACCTGCACCGGCTGAGGAGACCCCTGAAGAAGTTCCACCTGCACCGGCTGAGGAGACCCCTGAAGAAGTTCCACCTGCACCGGCTGAGGAGACCCCTGAAGAAGTTCCACCTGCACCGGCTGAGGAGACCCCTGAAGAAGTTCCACCTGCACCGGCTGAGGAGACCCCTGAAGAAGTTCCACCTGCACCAACTGAGGAGACCCCTGAAGAAGTTCCACCTTCACCGGCTGAGGAGACCCCTGAAGAAGTTCCGCCTGCACCGGCCGAGGAGACCCCTGAAGAAGTTCCGCCTGCACCGGCCGAGGAGACCCCTGAAGAAGTTCCGCCTGCACCGGCCGAGGAGACCCCTGAAGAAGTTCCGCCTGCACCGGCCGAGGAGACCCCTGAAGAAGTTCCGCCTGCACCGGCCGAGGAGACCCCTGAAGAAGTTCCACCTGCACCGGCCGAGGAGACCCCTGAGGAAGTTCCACCTGCACCGGCCGAGGAGTTCCGCCTGCACCGGCCGAGGAGACCCTGAAGAAGTTCCGCCTGCACCGGCCGAGGAGACCCCTGAAGAAGTTCCGCCTGCACCGGCCGAGGAGACCCCTGAAGAAGTTCCGCCTGCACCGGCCGAGGAGACCCTGAAGAAGTTCCACCTGCACCGGCTGAGGAGACCCCTGAAGAAGTTCCACCTGCACCGGCCGAGGAGACCCCTGAAGAAGTTCCGCCTGCACCGGCCGAGGAGATCCCTGAAGAAGTTCCACCTGCACCGGCCGAGGAGACCCCTGAAGAAGTTCCACCTGCACCGGCCGAGGAGACCCCTGAAGAAGTTCCACCTGCACCGGCCGAGGAGACCCCTGAAGAAGTTCCACCTGCACCGGCTGAGGAGATCCCTGAAGAAGTTCCACCTCCACCGGCTGAGGAGACCCCTGAAGAAGTTCCACCTGCACCGGCTGAGGAGACCCCTGAAGAAGTTCCACCTTCACCAGCTGAGGAGACCCCTGAAGAAGTTCCACCTGCACTGGCTGAGGAGGCCCCTGAAGAAGTTCCACCTTCACCAGCTGAGGAGACCCCTAAAGAAGTTCCACCTTCACCAGCTGAGGAGACCCCTGAAGAAGTTCCACCTCCACCAACTGAAGAGGGCCCTGAAGAAGTTCCACCTTCACCAGCTGAGGAGACCCCTGAAGAAGTTCCGCCTGCACCGGCTGAGGAGACCCCTGAAGAAGTTCCACCTGCACCAACTCAAGAGAGCCCTGAAGAAGTTCCACCTGCACCAACTGAGGAGACCCCTGAAGAAGTTCCGCCTGCACCGGCTGAGGAAACCCCTGAAGAAGTTCCACCTGCACCAACTGAGGAGACCCCTGAAGAAGTTCCACCTGCACCGGCTGAGGAGACCCCTGAAGAAGTTCCACCTGCACCGGCTGAGGAGACCCCTGAAGAAGTTCCACCTGCACCGGCTGAGGAGACCCCTGAAGAAGTTCCACCTGCACCGGCTGAGGAGACCCCTGAAGAAGTTCCACCTGCACCGGCTGAGGAGACCCCTGAAGAAGTTCCACCTGCACCGGCTGAGGAGACCCCTGAAGAAGTTCCACCTGCACCAACTGAGGAGACCCCTGAAGAAGTTCCACCTTCACCGGCTGAGGAGACCCCTGAAGAAGTTCCACCTGCACCAACTGAGGAGACCCCTGAAGAAGTTCCACCTCCACCGGCTGAGGAGGCTCACATAGAAGTTCAACCTCCAACTCCTGAGAGATCTTCCTTAGAAGGTCTTCCCCTAGAAGAAGTTGTTATTCCACAAACTGAATAGACTCTTCTAGAAGGAATTTCCTGCTGAAGTTCAGCATTTACCACCTGAAATTTCTGCAGAAGAGTCTCCTGTTAAACAGACTTCCAAAACTAATGTGGTTCCTATTCAAGAGTTCCCTAAGCAAGAGATACCTGCTGAAGATTCACTTCTACCTTCTGAACAAACCCCTGAAGATAAGACTCTACTAAAAGAACATCAATTGTCCCCAGTAGCAGGTATCGCTGACAAAGAAGTAGAGTGTTCTGCTTTAACAGGTGATAGAAACCCTGAACGAACAGATCCTATTTCTGCAGATGTGTCTAGGACCAAGAATGAGTGATCTCCACTTTCAAAATAGAAGGTACCATTAAAATAGAGTTAAAGAACCCCTCCTCCTGAGATATAGCCAGGTTCTAACTTAAGCTAGCAACCATATTTTAGGAGATTCTAGAAGAGCATTCTTTAGAAAATGAGGTGCTATCTGGAAGAACTTTCATGGGCAGATTAAAGGAAAAGGATCCCAAAAACTGAGCATACAGGTTGAACAATGAATAAAAGCAGTCGCAGCTTAAAGTCCATTGTGTTACTTTCACTCAAATCTGTATCATGGAAAATAACTATTTTGAAATGAAGTAAATTTATGGTTGTCACTATTACTTAAAATAAGCTTTATATAGTACATCTATGGACAACAGTTGTTTATTCTGAAGCTCTTTACCACTCTGTTGCTTTTCTTTACAAGCAGAATAAATGACAGTTTCTTCCTTGAAAAATTCCTTGAGTTTTATTTGCACAATTCAACTTACATGATTTTTTTCCTTTGGTTATGATTCATCCTATCTTTTATTCTCTTTCCATTGACTCCTTCTTATACAACCATTGCTTTCCTGTTACAGCTGCTGTGGGAATCAGTGTAGATAATTCTCAGAAAGATAAAAATAAATCTAACAAATTACTCAGGCATACCACTCTTTAGAATATTCCCAAAGGATTCAACATCTTACTCCACATATTCATTGGTACTTGATTCACATTTAAAAATAGAAAATGAAAACAACCTATATGACCTTCAACTGATGAATGGATAATGAAAATATGATTCATATACACTATGAAATGCTATTCATCTGTAAAGAAAAATGAAATTATGAAATGTGTATTTAAATGGACAGATTGAGCAGAGATCATAGTGAATGATGAGGTAACTGAAATCCAGAGAGCCCAATGTCACACCTTTTCTCTCTGCTGAGGCACCTAGATAGAAATCTTTCTATAGTTACCTATAATAATTATAGAAAACATGAAAGTATAAATGAGTATTGTTGGGAGAGAGAGTGTGGAATAAATATAGAGAAAAATAGAAGGGTGCAAGTGATTTGTTTGCTAGCTTGGAGAAAAGGATTCCCATTAATGGGGTGGGAGAGATAAATACAAAAGGTATAGAAAGGTAAAATAAGAGTAAGTATGTCTGAAAAGAATCATAAGGAATCATACTATTTACTATACAACTACAAACTTCCATAATACGTGTAATTCTGTGTATAAATGAAATTTTACTATCTGGACTGACACTCCAAGAGTTAAAAGAACATCTGTAAAAGACCACAACACCCGGCATGAGAAACCTCCTCTCATTTGTTGGATAGGGTTGTCCAACAACTCAGCTTTCTGCTGAGCAGATGTCATGGTCATTGGATAAAAGAAAATTTTCCATGACTATTATTTTGCACATCCAGGTATGTGTGTTTGGCTCACTACAGTTTTGGGAAAGGTATACTAGAAAATACTAGAAATACATACTAGAAAACAGAAACAGACACAATTTTTAGTTTCAGATTTTGAAGTTTCAAGCATTTATGAAACATTCAGATGGTGATAACTATAAGTGACAGAATATTGAATAACAGAACTATTGTGATATAGCTAAAACAAAAAAGGTTCAAGGTGAATGATTTAGAACCTTTGGTGCAAGCTAGCGATGGAGAGTGAGTTTGTGATGCCCAAAGACAGAAAGAACAGTCTTGAACTAGAAATTGTATCATATTTAAAAAAAGGAAATTGTACCATAACTGGGGATTTTAGTGAAGTACAGCTGAGTTCTGGCACAAGACTGCTTATTTTAAAGCAAACCAAATCAAACTGGAAGTCATCCTAAGAAAATGTGTCATATAGTCAGACTTCAGCTGGCTGAGCTGAAGGTGGGTCACAGAGTGTTTGAATATATGGTGATTGAGTTAGATGAAACTTTATGCTCTCTCCAAGCTAAGACTGCTCAAATCCACAGTTGACTATGAACTGAAGGCCAGCATCCGTGGCTGCCAGTGGATCCTGCCTCCTTCTTCCCTGTGGCTTTATGGAGCAGCTGGCATCTGGATGATTTGTTTATTTTCTATGGCTACAGAACACTTGGCCTTCCCGTTGCTTATGAAGTATGACTCACTTATGGTGTCTAATCAGATGGCTGGAAGCCTGACACAGCTCGCTGTGTAGCTTCTCATCAGCATTGAGCTGTTCTGAAGTGCTTATGTCAGAAATATTAGCAGGAGTGTGCTTCGAGGCTGAATTCGTGCACTGAGGTATAATGAGGTCACCTAGGAAACAGGCAAAGGGTTGGGCATGTCATGGGCTCTTTTCTGCCTTTCTTCATTGACCTTATTAGATAGTATGGAAATGTTGGCGCATCTGAGCATAGCATCCAATGCAGCAGCTGAGAGAACTCTTTCTTCAGTATTCATAGAAAAGGGCAGATTTGATGACACTTCTTATTAACCACATGACATCAGGTTCAGGGCAGTGCCTCTTTAGAGGACACAAGTCAAGTTCTTCATCCCCTGAGGTAATCTTTTTCTTGATATTTTTAAATTTTCATCAAAATAAAATTTCACCATTTCCCTCTTTCCTTTCCTCCCTCCAATCCTTCCTGTACTACATTATGCTCTGTCTAGTTCATGACATCTTGTTCTTTGATTATTATATATACATGTGTATTTGTACATATAAGCATAAATATATATTTGTAGATGTATATTATATGTATATGTATACATAAGTGTATAAATGCAACTTGCTCAGCCTTCTTATTGTTGTTAGTATCTGCATTTCAGGGCTGACCACTTGCTATTGTATAACCAACTGAGGACTCATGCCTAGGAATACCATTTCTCCCTCTCTTAGTCGTCATTTAATTGGTATTATCTATTTGGCTTTTGACCTTTTCTTTCCTCTCTTAGTCATTCCATTCTCATGAAATGATGATACTGTCTTTGAAAGCCATATTCACAGATGCTAGCTTTTAAGATATCATTTGGACCAATTCCAAACATGTTCATGGTAAGAGTTATAAATAAACCATTGTCAAGACCCTGCCCTGAGTGAAATGACAGACTCTAGATATCCCCTATGTGGGAGGAAATGGCGATAGGGTGGGAGGCTGGGGGGGATAGAGAGGGGGTGCGGGAAGATGGGGAGGGAGAAGAAACTGGGATTGACATGTAAAACAAGCTATTTAAAATGAAAAAAAAAGAACATAGGTTCTCAGAAATTCTGATCAATGGCTCTAGAGCAGGTATGATGATTTTTATCTTAAACAAGGACTCCAGATATATTTTTAGGTTAGAAGTTTTCTTGTTAGAAGCACCAGGAGATACAGTTACATGAGTGGTTTAGGTCTCAACATATGTACAGAGTGAGAATCCCTAAAAAAGATTAGGGTATGTATAGTTTTAATTTTCCTAAAGGATGCTAATGTGCAACTACTAAATACTATTAAGCTTAACTATTAAGAATTTTACTTTAAACAAGGCTAACATCTTTCTTGAGTCTGCAGCTATGGCTTCTATCATCTGTCTTGGCTTTCCTTTACATCTAGGGAGAATAGTGATATTTTCAGACAGAGCCTTGATGCAGTCATCATCTACTGACGGTAGAGATTCAAGTTGAATTTAACCGAAACTATAACTTTTCTCTAAGCAGGGTTTCTCACCTTTCTACCATTAATATTTGTGTCAGGGAGTGTTGTGTATGTTGTGTATTGTAGGATGTTTAGCAGAGTCCTTGACATTAACCCACATCATGAAAACAACAGTGTCTCCAGTTGTTACAATGTTTCTAGACATTGATAAATGTCCCTGGGGATAAAATCACATCCATTTGAGAACTACTTTAAGAGATAAGAAAAAGCCCAGATCATAATTTAATAAAACTTAAAAAAGATCTTTGTATTCTATAAATTTACTTGAGCCCATCATATAAAACCACACCTGGGCACAATGCAGAGATCAAGAGATCATGGCAAGTCCAGCTGAACAGACAAATCTACTTTACAACTCCTTCAGTCTGTGGCTTAGGGAACATCACACATGAGGAGTGAAGATATTGTAAGGTTCAGAATACAAGGAAGTCTGCTATGAAACAGTCTCTGCAGGAAATGGCTGTACAAACAAGACTGGAACCTTGTTGAAATCAATGGACATGTTAACATGGAAGATGCCATCCCTACACTAAGAATTAAGACAACCATTGACTCCTTGGAAAAGGAGAATTAGTCTTTCCCATGTATAAGCCCTCATATTGGTTGTCCAATGCAGAGTGGTTATCCCTGAAGACATATATACAGGAACAGAAATGAACTCAGTATGATATGTCAATAGGTATATAAATACATACATATATATATATATTCTACTGAGTAGGTGGAGCAAGTTGCATTTATATGTTTTTGTATACACATATTTTATACACATATATATATTTTGTATACACACATGCATGCATATATACATATATTTATTATACATATATTCATGTATAAATACATACATTCTAAATATATGGTAGAACAGTATCATTTTATTTGCATATGTCAAAATTTGCTTTTCAAATAAAGTTTGACAAACTATCCATTTGTTTTAACCGCTGGATATATAAACATACATACATACATACATACATATATTTATGTATATATATACATATATATAGCTACTAATGGTAAAAGGGGATAATATGTATATAATGTCCTTAATTGGAATGTATATGTTTTCATTCAAAATTTCATAAATGAGTACTATATTTATATCATTTCCACCACACCATCTCTCTCTCCTTCAGCACACACACACACACACACACACACACACACACACACACAGGTCTATTCAGTGTTCTTCATATGAATATTAGTTTAGGGCTGACCAGTAGGACTGAATAAGCTATCAGATTTCTCCCACTGCACTGGTATATCTACTGGTGTTGTCATTATGTTGGTCTTGTTTAGGTGACCATATTGTTGAGATTTCACTGGTGCAGCTTCCCTGTCATATACAGAAGACATTTTCTTGCAATAGAAATTGTGGTCCTCTGGATCTTATATATATCCTTCTCTTCTTCTGAGAAGAGCAATTTTAATATCTCTTGCTAATTTTTAAAAATGCACCTTTGTGTTTGGGGAATTTATCACCATTGGTGAATTTTATGTCAGAACTTGCCACTTGTATGAACTCAACTGACAGGATATTCCTTTTCTCAGAGTAATCGAACTGTGAAGTGGAGCATGCCACTTCTGGTATTTGATA